GTGCTCCAGAATGGGGTGAAGCAACCAGAGTGTATTGGTAAATCTGTCTGTAAGAGTTAAAGTATAAAAGTTAACTATTCCAAAAAATTATGTAAGTCATACTTCATCTCTTCAGATCATGAGAAATATCCCGTTCTTCGGGGGCCGGGTGGGGCCGTTGTCCTGGGAAGCTGAGTTGAGGGTGGTGCTATTGCTGCGCTCGGAGCGTGAGCTGGTCCCAGCCTGGTGCCTGAGGATGTCCACAAGAGCCCTGGGGAAGGGTGGGGGGGTAGTGCCTGTCAGACACCCCCAAATAACATGGCCCCCAGCCAGGGCACAATTCCCCTCCCCAGCCCCTGGCGCTGCCCCGGCCTGCGCCGCCCGGCCTCACCACTAGGTGCCCCCCCCACTCTCCCATCTGCCCCCTCCCCACTGCCATGCCCCACACCCAGCCCCACTGTCGTGCCCCCTCCCTTCTCGCCTCCCTCTGGCCTACACCTCTCCCTTTGGCCCCCCACCCCAATCCCTTCTCCTCTCCTCCTCTCTCCCAGCCATGGCCCCCTCCCCCCAGCTCCCAACTCCCCCCTCCCTCCACCCCCAACTCCCCCTGCCTCTCCACTCCCCCCTTCCCCATTAACCCCTGGCACTCCCCTCCCCTGATCCCCTCCCTTCTCCCAGCCATGGCCCCCTCCCCAAGGCCGCCAACTCCCCTGCCTCTCCCCTCCCCTCCCCCCTTTCCCTATGGCCCCCAACTCTCCCCCGCACCTGGGCATGTTGATCTCCCGCCCCTGGGGCCGGCGGGAAGCCTTGCCGAAGGCCACCTTGATGCCCAGGCCCACGGCCAGGGTGAAGCTGATGACGCCGCAGACCACATAGACGGTGCTGTTGCTCTGCTGGCGGGCGGCCTCGGAGCCCCCCGGCCCCCGGCCCCCGGGCCCGGCCGTGCTGCTGGCCTGGGTGTGGGCCCAGAAGGGGGTCTCCACGTTGGTGCAGCGGCCCTGCTCCAGCCGCATGGCCCGGTGCTCGCAGCAGAAGCGGTAGTGGCATGTGCCGCAGCAGAAGCGGTAGCCGCCCGTGGTGCAGTTGAAGGCGGCGTCGTACTGGCCCATGACGTCGTAGTAGCCTTGGCACGTCTCGGCCGCCCGGCCCCCCCAGGCCGCCGCCCCCGTGCTGTTGACCCCCGCCAGCCGCTTGAGGTGAGCCAGCAGGCTGGGCAGCGCCCGGCTGTGGTTGGCCGGACGAGGGGCCTGGAGGACCGCCAGGGCCGGCTGGCAGCTCAGGGCCTCCAGGGCAGCGCAGAGGACAGTCAGCAGGTGGTACATGGTGTGCGGGGGGGGGGACAGGACCCTGGGAGATGGGGGAGCAGGGAGAAGCCTGGGGTTGGGGGGGTGAGGAGGGTGCGGAGGGGCCCCAGAAGAAGCTGGGGTATATGTTGGGGCACGGGGGGGGGGAGGGCGAGATGGAAGATGCACTGGGAGATGGCACCGGATGGGGGGTACAGTGGGTCCCGTGAGACAGCCCCGGGTAGGGGGAATGGAGGGGCTCAGCAGATGGCACTGGGTGGCGGGGGGGGGGCACAGAAGGGTCCCTTGACACGGCGCAGAGTTGCGGAGGGAGGTCAGGGCATCTGGGCCCCGTTAGCTGGTTCCTTCTTGTGGTTATAAAAAATGGATCAATCCGTATAAAAGAATCCGAGAGAGAAATCTGCAGAGAGAGAGAGAGAGATGGGGGAGTCGGCAGCTATCACACCATGACCCCAACTAGCACAACCTCATCCTCACTCCTGGGACAGGCCATTTTCCCCAGAGCCTCGGCTTCCGGAGTCATGAGCTATGGCAGATCTGTTCCCCAGAGCCCAGCGGGGGCAGATCGGGGGGATGGCCAGAGCGCTGCCCGGACACAGTCACCAAGCTTGGGGCCTCATCACGCCAGGCGCTGCCCAGACACAGAGTCGCCGGGATCGGGACCCCGTCGGGCCGGGTGCTGCCTAGACACAGAGTCGCCGAGATCGGGGTCGCGTCACGCCAGGCGCTGCCCAGACACAGAGTTGCCGAGATCGGGGCCCCGTCACGCCAGGCGCTGCCCAGACACAGAGTCGCCGAGATCGGGGTCCCGTCAGGACGGGCGCTGCCCAGAGACAGAGTCACTGAGATCGGGGCCCTGTTTAGGGTGACCAGACGTCCTGATTTTATAGGGACAGTCCTGATATTTGGGGCTTTTTCTTATATAGGCTTCTTTTACCCCCCACTCCCTGTCCCGATTTTTCACACTTGCTGTCTGGTCAGCCTAGCCCTGTTGCGCCAGGCACTGCCCAGGCACAGAGTCACTGGGATCGGGGCTCCATCGTACCCCAGCACTGTGACACCCCTGCATCCCCTCTGCCACATTATGCCCCTGGGAACCCCAGATCTGAGACACCCTTGCGCCCTGGTGTCGGATTCTTTAGTGGTTATTGATTATTATTGATTTCCAATGAATTACTAGTTTAAAGAGCTGGGGGATTGTAGGGGTCTAGTCCCAGGAACAGGCACAACAAAATCAAGGGGATTGAGGCTGGGATCCCCAAAGTGCGACACGTTGAGGGGAAAGCAAAACTTAAGGCAACTTTTAGGGCGCCATTTGTAAAGCCACAGATGCTCCAAGCCACATAAAAATGGAGCAGAGAGAAGGCGGATGAGGCAATATCTGTTATCGGACCAACTTCTGTTGGAGAAAGAGACCAGCCGTCCAGCTCTAGAGAGCTTGTCTCTGGGTCTGGGAAAGGCACTCAGAGTGTCCCAGCTAAATACAAGGTTGGGCAGAGAGGTTAGCGTCAGTGGTGAGCGTGCATTCAAAATGATCTCCACCAATGGGAGAAATGGTCTGAAGTCCATAGGATGAAATTCAATAAGCACCCATGCAAAGCGCTCCACTTAGGAAGCACAATCAGTTACACACATACAAAATGGGAAATGACGGCCTAGGAAGGAGTATGGAGGAAACGGATCTGGGGTCAGAGTGGAACACAAGCTAAAGATGAGTCAACAGTGTAACGCTGTTGCAAAAAAACCCAACATCCTTCTGGGATGTATTGGCAGGAGTGTTGTAAGCAAGACACGAGAAATAATTCTTCCGCTGTACTTCACACTGATTAGGCCTCAGCTGGAGTATTGGGTCCAGTTCTGGGCGCCACGTTTCAGGAAAGATGTGGAGAAATTGGAGAAAGTCGAGAGAAGAGCAACAAAAATGATTCAGGTCTAGAAAACATGAGCTATGAGGGAAGATTGAAAAAAACAAACCAGGTTTGTTTAGTCTGGAGAAGGGAAAACTGAGAGAGGACGTGATAACAGTTTTCAAGTTCATAAAAGGTTGTTACAAAGAGGAGGGAGAAAATTCTTGTTAACCCCTGAGCAGGGCCGGCTTTAGCAGGTGCGGGGCCCCACGCCGGGACGCAAATTGTCTCGCCTCCTCCCCGCCCCGCCCCCCGACTCCACCCCCTCACTGCCCCATTGGATCCCTCCCCAAATCCCCGCCCTGGCCCCACGTCTTCCCCAAGCACACGCCGCATTCCTCCTCCTCACCCCTCCCTCCCAGGCTTGCGCTGATCAGCTGTATGGTGGCGCAACGCTGGAGGGAGGGGGGAGAAGCAGGACGCGGCTTTTTTTTTTTTTCCCCACTCTGCCAGCAGCCCCGGATGTTGCGGGGCCCTCTTAGGCGCGGGACCCCATTCCGGTGAATCGGTCAAATCGGCTTAAAGCCGACCCTGCCCCTGAGGATAGGACAAGAAGCAATGGGCTTAAATTGCAGCAAGGGCAGTTTAGGGTGGACATTAGGAAAAACTTCCTAGTTGTCAGGGTGGTTGAGCACTGGGATAAATTGCCCAGGGAGGTTGTGGAATCTCCATCAGCACCGCCCGCCTCAGAGATTTACAGGACAACGGATGCCCCTCGGAGAGCCGCCCCGGATGCGTGGCCAAACACAGCGAGTTCATCCTCAGCCGTGACAGTTGTACATCCGACAACAAACACTTGGTTCAAACCGTGGGCACTCAGATGGCTTCCCTACAGGCCGACCCTCTTCATGGGCCACCTCCTGGGAGAATTTCTGGACAAATGCACCACAAAACCAATGATGCACCTGAGCTACATCAATGATATTTTCCTCCTGTGGGCAGACGGCCCAACCTCCCTCGTCGATTTCCACCACAGCTTCAACAACCATCCCTAGAACCCTGCCACACTAGCATCAACTTCCTGGGCTCCACAGTCCTCTTCAACTCTGGAACCCGACAGACAACCATATACAAGAAACCCACGGATCACCCCAGCTACCATCCCAGACAGGGACGGCTTTAGGAAGTGCGGGGCACGATTCGAATACCTGGCGGCGGTCCGGGTCTTCGGCGGCGGATCCTTCACTCGCTCCAGGTCTTTCGCAGCACTGAAGGACCCGCCGCCAAAATGCCGCCGAAGACCCGGAGCGAGTGAAGGATCCGCCGCCGAAGTGCCGCCGAAGACCTGGACCGCCACCGGGTGAGTAAAAATTAAAAAGTTAGGCACTCTACTTTAGGGCGCGGGGCCCTCTTAGGCGCAGGCGCGGGGCCCTCTTAGACTCAGGGCCCGATTCGGGGGAATCGGCCTAAAGCCGGCCCTGATCACAGATCCACTCACCACCCCAAACACACCAAGGGGTCTGGTATCTGCAGCCAGGCATTCCGATACCGCAGAATACACTCTGAGAAGGAAGTCCAGGATATTCATCTTAACACGCTGAAAACCGCCATCACCAAACAAAGACACGCTGCCAGAAAAGTCAATCGCATCATGGAACCAATGAGCCAAATACCCCGAGAGAACCTCCTTCAATACAGAAATAAAACCTCCCATGACTGCACACGCCTAGTTAAGAACATAAGCACGGCCAAACTAGGTCAGACCAAAGGTCCATCTAGCCTTGTATCCTGTCTTCCAACAGTAAACAATGCCAGGTGGCAATTACAGGCTAGGGACACCATCCCTGCCCATCCTGGCTAATAGCCATTGATGGACCTGTCCTCCATGAATTTATCTAGTTCTTTTTTGAACCCTGTTATAGTCTTGGCCTTCACAACATCCTCTGGCAAAGAGTTCCACAGGTTGACTGTGCGTTGGGTGAAGAAATACTTCCTTTTGTTTGTTTTAAACCTGCTACCTATTAAACTAACGCCCCACAACTACAACCCATACTCGATGGGGACCCCATCCTGAGAGAAATCTTTTCTGAACCTCCTCTTCTGGCCTTCCAACAACCCACCAACCTTTCCAAGCTTATCATCAGAAGCAAGCTCCCCACAGACCAGGACCCACCAACTCAAAGCAGCACCAGACCTGGCCAGAACAACAGATGCAAAACCAGCAGCCATATCTCCACCACTATAGTGATCAACACCTTTCAAGATCCAAGGGTCTTACACATGCCTGTCACAAAACGTGGTGTCCCCCATCTAGTGGAACAAATACCCCAGTGACAGCAATGTGGGTGAAGCCAGGCCATCCGATGCTTCACCCAAAACTTGCCTTGGCAAGGAATTGATACCGATGATCTTAAGTGAAGATGGGTAATAGACTAATCTGTCGCAGAACACTCCCCAACATTACTAGGGTGAGTAAGTTAGAGATGGGCATTTGTATGAATATCCACAGCACCCATCCGTCCCAGACTGCCATGTCAGGGGGAGATCCAGACCATCAGACTCGTCTGCCATGCCAGGGACGGAGTAGGATGCCCATCTGTTTCGCTACCACCAGCTCCCCAAGAAAGGGTGTGAGTCTGTCCACAGAACAGTACCAAATAGCAGTGTAATATTCTATTACTGCAACATTTTACTAGACAGGACTGTTGCAGCCATGTTGGTCCCAGGATATTTGAGAGACAAGGCAGGTCTGGTCATATCGTTCACCGGACCAACTTCTGACGGGGAGAAAGACATGCTTTCGCACTGCCCAGAGCCCTTCTCCGGGTCCAGGAAAGGCCTAGCAAAATTCGGAACGGATGCTCCCTGCCTCGCCTTATGAACGCGGCGGCCGGGTTTCCGGGTAGGACTCAGAGGTGGGCTCCGGCGTGATCGCTTTGGGAAAAGGGTTCACCCCCAGGAGACAGGGTGTTTTTCTCCTAGAATAGCCCAACGTGGTATCAGTTCAATGTTCCTGTGATTGGCCAGTAGCATTTGGTACAGATGCCCCCCACATGTTGTCAGCACCCCAAAATTCTGTGTCACAATTGAGCCCCTTATGCTAAGGTTCAAGGCCTCAAATTAGACCATAAAGCCTCAAACGACGGGCCTAGGGAGTCCTTAAGTTACCGTTAAATGAAAAGCTAAGTTACCTCTCTGGGCTACAGTCTCCTCTCTTGTATCACAGCCCCTGGGTACCCCCAGATCTGAGACACCCTGTGCCCCCTCTGCTGTATCACAGCTCCTGGGTACCCCCAGCTCTGAGACACC